AAATGACAAAATCATAGAATTTGCAGGGAAATGGATGGCATTAGAGCAGATGATTCTAAGTGAAGCTAGCCAAGCCCTAAAAATCAAATGCCAAATGTCTTCTTTGATATAAAGACAGCCACTAAGAACAGAACAGGAAGGAAGAGCATGAGGAAAAGACTAACTGTAAACAAAGACGAATGGGGGGAGAGAAAGGGAGAGAGAATTGAAAGCATATGGAAATGGTAGGAGACTTACAATGATACACAAAATTATAAGAGGTTATGAGGGGCAAGGGAGAGGGGAAAAAAAAGGGAGAGAAGTCTTCGTATTTTTGAAAAAGTAGAATTGTCTGGTGATTGGTTTTTTTTTTTAATTTCATCTATGTCTTTGTCCATTTTCTTCTACATATCATAATGTGTGTTTCTAACTTCTTTGTATTGTCCATCTGTATTCTTCTGTCTCCTCAGTTTTCTTAAAAATAATTCCTTGAATTCTTTCTCCAGCTGTTTAATTCTTCCCCAGTACATTGTTTCAGACCATAATAATGTGAGTGAGATGCTCTCACAAAGTGTTTAGATCAATCTCATCGTTGCACAGCTCCTGAAAGGCTGTGTCACCCCTAAGTGCACCTGACAAGCAGCCTGGCACAAACCTTTCACTCTTTTCTGTTAACAGGGCACTGCGTTGCAAAACCTGAGGTGATCTTCAAGCTGGAGCAAGGTGCTGGGCTGTGGACAGTAGGCGAAGCCTCACACCAGCGCCTCCCAGGTCAGTCAGTGCATGCTGCGCAAGGAGACCAGAAGGAGAGCCCCACAGACAACAGCCACGTTGAGCTGTTTTCATCTGTGTTTCTTCAGGTCCCAATCCTGAGGAAGCAGGTCTTGTGCTTCAGCCCCTTTTTTTGTACAGTCTCCAAGGAGTGCTCTCTCATGTACACCCATGTTTATGTTCTCATAATGTATACTTCATTAAATTTTCCCAAACCCTCAACCCCCATATGGATCTTGACATTTTTTGATTGGTTACTTTTCTTTCCTCCAGTTTCATAGCCTACTATTTCAGGCATTTTATTCACATTATTTCTTTAGCACTTGCTAGTTGATCACTTTATAGTCAGTGTTTTTTTAAACTCTGCGGATATCAACCTTAATGAAACAAATGCATCTTCTCTTTACATTTTGTTGAGGAAAAAATATAACACATGTATATAATATTTGGCAGTAAGAGCCACAAAGAATATTTTATTAGGATGAGAGAAAGAAAAACATGTTGTTATGATTTTAGAAATGTAAAGAGAAGAAAGTTTTAAGGAAATTGTCATCCCTTGGGCTCATTTTGAGGTGATGTTTTCCAAGTTTGGTATATAAAACATAGGTAGATGTAAAATCTAGATTTTGAGACTGGTCATGAGTATAATGGAGATAAAGATTTGGAAATCAATAGCCTAATGCTAATATTTACATCATAGTTATTCAGGTTGTCACCTAAGGAATGGATAAGAAAATCAGAAGAGAGGTCCAAGGCTGGAGCCTTGTGCATCACGTCAGGACTCATGAGGTGAGGAACACCCAGCATAAAAGTATGTGAACTGATAGTTTTGGACTGGGAGGACAACCGGGAGACCTTGGGTCTGCAGGCCAAGGGAATCAGGATCTTCATGTTGAAAGGCTTCAGTGTCTATTGGGAAATGGAATTTTACTTAGCCTTTACCTTTCATGCTGTGGAAATCATTCAAAGACAATAGATTTGTACAGGAGACTCTCTTTTCTGTGAAAGTAGAAGACGGATGAACCTCCAAACACAAAAGCCTACAGAAGCAGTGAGCTTCCAGCCAGGGTACATGTGCCTGGGACTGGGAGAGGATGCCATTAGTGTTGAGCCAGAAAGGCAGTAGCAACAACTGATACAAACAACATACATTTCAAAGATGGCAGGTTCAGCTTAGTTTACTGAGCCAAATCCTTTATATTCCAGCAAGAAGATGGATTGGAGCTTCCTGAGAAGCATAGATACATTAGATTAAGAATTAAGTGGAAGCTGTCTTTAGTGTGGGAAGGGTAACTTGAATTCTTAAAACCCCAAAGGTTTCTACTACATTTCCTTAGGGAAAAGTAAAACTAAAACACACAGATAACAGTTCTTTCCTAAACTATATTCCTGCTCAGGTGAGAGACAGATCAGCCATGCCTGCATGATGTAAATAGCTAACCCAAGAAAACTTGGCCACTACAAACATGAAAGAGAAGCACAGCAGGGTGGGATTATATCTACAAATGTTGTAAGAAAGAACTAGAGAAAAAGAACAGAACAAATAACAGATGAAACCAGTGAAACCTTCAGCTAGGCACTTGGTGAGTGTTTTAACCAAATATCTTTCTACATTTCAGAAGAATAAAGTAACCTCAAGCAACAAAGTAACATGATAAATACTAAAATTATTAATTATAATTTTTACATTTATTAGGGCCAAAAAAACTCATAAATCAACACAGTTATTTTGCAGTTTCACGTCATTAGGATAAGAAGGCACTTCTTTGTGTTTGAATTTCATAGCAAATGCTCATGTGTTTTTCATGGATATTGTTCTTTTTTGTATCCTTTTAGATGTCCAGAAAGTGAATGGCCTGAATGAGACCAGCCAGGAAAAGAAAGAGAGGCATTTCTGGCAAATTGTACTCCCCAACAGCAGCACCTCAACTGAGGAGAGGTTCACATTAGGAACAAGGTTTAATTGAGCTGAAATCAGGTTTCAAGTCTGGCTCCAAAGACTGGGCCATAGGGGCTTAATGTGTGGCAGAAGGAGCTTTTCCCTAGCAAGCCTGAGGAGGTGCAGGATGGAGAGGAGCCTAGTTGTCTTAACATTCCTGAGAAGCCCCCCAGGCATCCTTATCAAAGAAGTCTACTAAAGGTTCAAATTAGACAGCAGCAGTTCCATCACTGTGGACAGGGGGAATTCTTCACAGTGAAAGCATTGTGGACACTGAAGAGGCTTCATGTGGGAGAGGCCTCCAGCACACTCAGTGGAGGTGGAAAAACCCTGGATAAGGTGGCACTTACTGCCCAAGAGATGACTCAGGTAAGAGAGAAAACTTCAGAATGTAATACGTGTGGGGAAACTTTCTGTAAAAACTCTAAAGTCAATTCACATAAGAAAATACAGTGAAGACTGAAATGTGATGAATGTAGTGGTGGCAAGAAGCTATTGGTTAAGAAGCCATACCTTACGAAACTCCACAGGTCACAATCAGAATCAGAGGGAAAGCCCCATACATTCAATGAATGTATTGGTTAAGAAGCCATACCTTACTAAACTCCACAGGTCACAATCAGAATCAGAGGGAAAGCCCCATACATTCAATGAATGTGAGAACTTTTGTCAGAAGACATGACCTACTGGGCACCAGAGGACTCACAGAAGAGCAAGACCCTTTGAAGGTTACGAATATGAAAAGCAGTTTTCCCAGAAGTCACACCTCAGCAGGCATAGGGAGAAGCCCTATGAGTGCAATATGTATGGGAAATCCTTTTCCCGGAAGTCCCACCTCAGCAGGCACCAGGGCACACACACAGGCGAGAAACCCTATGGGTGTAAGGAATGCTGGAAGACGTTCTACCATAAGTCATCCCTCACAATTCATCAGAGAACTCACACAGGTGAGAAGCCCTATGAGTGTAAGAAGTGCAGGAAAAGCTTCTACTGTAAGTCAGATCTCACTGTGCATCAGAGGACTCACACAGGTGAGAAGCCCTACACATGTGAAGCCTGCAGGAAGACTTTCTACTCTAAGTAACACCTCACTGTTCACCAGAGAATTCACACGGGTGACAAGCCTTATGCCTGTAAGGAATGCAGGAAGACTTTCAACCGCAAGTCTAACCTCACCGTGCACCGGAGAATGCACACAGGTGAGAAGCCCTATGAGTGTGATGTGTGCGGGAAAACCTTCTATCAAAAGTCCCACCTCAGCACGCACCAGGGAACTCACACAGATGAGAAGCCTTATGAGTGTGAGCACTGCAGGAAGGCTTTCCTTCACAAGTCATCCCTCACTGTGCATCAGAAAACTCACTCGGGCAGCAAGCCGTGCATCTGTGAAGAGTGCAGGAAGACATTTCTGCATAAGTCTTTCCTCACCGTCCATCAGAGGGCTCACACAGGCCACAAGCCCTATGTCTGTGAGGACTGCAGGAAGGCTTTCTACTGCAAGTCACACCTCACTGTGCATCGGAGAACCCACACAGGCGAGAAGCCCTATGAGTGTGGCGAGTGTGAAAAAGCCTTTCACCAGAAGTCATACCTCAGCAGGCATCAGATGACTCACCAGAATGAGAAGCAGTATGAATGTCAATAATGCAGGAAAACTTTCTACCGTAAGTCATCCTTCACTGTCCATCAGAGAACACACCTGGGGAACACGGCACAAATATAATGTATATGGAGAGCTCTTCCCCCAGGCATCAGAAAATGCACACAGGGGAATCCTCCCACAGTGAGCAAGTGTGGGGACAGAGTTAGTGAAAAGGCACGTGTCAGCATATGCCAGGGACGCCAGAGAGAGAAGTCCCCACAGCAGGCTCTGTGGTCCCCAGAATCCAGTTCTCTCTGGGGTGCTCAGCCTCCAGGGGGCGCCTCTCCTGTGTGGGCCCTGGAGCTGAGTTGCACAGCAGAATGTGTACCTGTGGCAGTCATTCCCCACAGCCCAGCCCAGCCTAGCTCAGAACTTCCATCAGGTTCTGCTCCCTGAGTTCTCATGCATCCTGGGCCTCATGTGAGCATGAATACCAGGTGGCTGGCCTTGAGAGCCAGAGATGGAGGCACTGGGACTTAAGAGAAATGTAATTTATTAGAGAGAGCAGAGGTCTTTCTACTTGTATCCCAGAATGCTCCATTCTTATTTCACATGAGCAAGAAATACTCTGTTGGACCAGTGCATGAGCTATTTGCATTTCATTGCAAACCCACTGTAGTTAATTCACTTTATAAAGTTTCTAAGAGAAGTTACCTCTCTTTTTATATTGCAAAAATTCCCACATGAGAGAAACCTGTACTGTCACCTTTGATTCCCAAGTCAGCTTATGGAAAATAGGAACAATCATATGGAAAAGTAACAAATTGAGATTGTCTTATCAGGCAGGTTACTTTCATGAACACTTTATGAATAAAGTAAACCTTCATACATTTCTTTAACTTGTAAAAGCTTTTAACACACCTTCTGACTTTTTATGTATAAACTTTGTAATGAAGAAAAATTATCAGTATCTGTAATTTGTATGTTAATTTTCCAATGAAAGTGTTGAATATAGTATTGGAGATTATTTTAAAATATTTGACTATATGCCAGAAAATACTGCCTGTCAGAGGTCCTTATCATTATGTACAGAGTCACTGCAGTTGGAAGGAGGCAGGCAGGTGGCATAGCAAGATCCCATCTCAAAACAAATAAGCAGATGGGTGCTGACTGGACTTGCATCAGGAATGCCATAGAGGCTGCTCAGGGCCTTGCTGAGTTACTGTGGCTGGCTTTGAACTTGCAATTCTCCTTCTTTGGCCTCCTCAGCAGCTGGGATTAAAGGAAGGCCTGTGCCACCTCATCCAGCCAGGGGGGTCTCACATTTCCACTGTCCCTAGACTCCAGGTCCCTCTGCTCTCCTTCATTTCCTGAAAGTTAATAAGACTGCTCTGGAAGGCAGGCAGATCTAAGTCCATCAGAAAGCCCCTTGAAGCATTCCTAGTCCCATCTTCACCACCCTCATGCCAGGGTCAGGAGATCAGACAGTGAATGAAAAGGCCTTGGACTTGCATCCAGCTTTGGGCTCTGGAGAAGGGACCAGGGAAACTGAAGCCTCAAAGAAACAGTGCCCATACTGTTATCCACATTGGAATTTACTGACTTTGGAGGACCCACCTGAGTCTCCTTCCCTGGGCACTGCCTGAGAGGCACTCAGCCCAGCCTAGCTGCTGTCCTGTACCTTTTTCTCAGCAGTCCTTGATCTCCATGAGGAGAGCAGGCTGGTGTCATGTGCAGGCCCAGTGCTCACAGTGGGCAGGCTGACAGGGTGTCTGTGAGCCTCAGGGAGGAGGTTCCAAGCCCTGAGACCTGAGGGCAGACTGGGATCATGTGCAGGCCTAGCACTCACAGTGGGCAGGCTTGTGTGGTATCTGTGAGGCTCAGGGAGGATGTTCCAAGCCCTGAGACCTGAGGGCAGGCTAGTGTTATGTACAGGCCCAGCGATCACAGTGGGCAGGCTGATGGGGTATCTGTGAGTCTCAGGAAAAAGGTTCCAAGCCCTGAGACCTGAGGGCTCTGAATAGGCTCCCTAACCATCAGGATCCTGTCCTGACTCCTGCCACATTGCCCCCAGTCACCTCCACCATGGGTCCCAGCCACACCTCACCCAAGTCACCATGAGCCAGCTCGCCCTGCTCCTGCCCAGTTTCTGTGCTGGAGGCATCTCTCCTAGCCACAACAGAAGGGAAGAGCTGAAGGAGAAAGATCACCTCCTCTCTTGATCTGGAGGCCTCTTCCCACCTCAAGGCCCTCACCTGCTGCTGCATTTTCTTCTGGACTGCCTGGGGTTCATCCCTAGGGGAACAAGGTTGAGGTGTTCCATAACCATGGTCAGAGAAAACGTAATGAATATTCCCTGCACTGGTTAGCACTTGACCCTTGACTCTGGGCCCTGGATAAGTGGGTGAGCCAGGTGCAGTGATGCTCCCAGATCCAGCACTCGGAGTGTCACCTCAGGCTGTGGCCTGGTCTCTCCAGCCTGACCTCAACTGGAACCTGTGATGTGAACTCACACCTGCCTCATGGTGTCACAGCCCTGAGAGTACCAGTAGCAAGCTCTCTCACATGCTCTCCCGCCTAAACCTAGTGCACACGCCATGCCTGCACATCAGGGTCATCAAATACCCATTTTTCAGATAAGAATCAGAGACCTAAAGGAATACAGTGACTTTCCTCCCCTAGGGGTACATCCCATCTCAGCTATGTTCACCCCATACCCTGGCACCACTAACTACAGTCCCATCCTCTGAGCTCTCGAGGTGTGTGCAGGGCCCAGGAAGGCACAGCCATGGTAGGAGAGGGGCAGGGTGTCCCAGGCAGGATAATGGCCCCTGCTGTCCTCCCCCCAAACAATCTTCAGAAGCAGGCCCTGAGGCCATGTTCAACTTCACCTCCTGAGGGAGTTTGCAGAACAAAACCCTCCCTCTCCACTCAGAAGGTACTCTCCAAAAAGGCCTGTTCTCACTGAGGGGGCTGAGCTGAGATTTTACTCTTTGACATGGAAATTTCTAACATCTGGTTAGGAAGGATCCACTAAGCATGCACGACCTCACAGATACTCTCATATAACCTCTGATGATTGCATTGATTACATCGCTGCTAATGATGGGTCATCAGTGTAACAGTCCTGGGATGGTTACTCAGCAAGTCACCTGAGAAATGACCAGTGGGACCCTTATGCTGATGCCTGTATGGAGCAACCTGCCAGCATGTCCTCCTCAGGTGGCCCTCACAGGTAGAGGGGCCAGTGCAGGAAGCATACGCAGAAACTCTGTTTTCCCATTGCAGGCTTGTACACAATGGCTGGTGCCCCCCAAGGAGAGGATTGTGCCCTGTGGATCCTGCCCCTGGGTGTCTGGCACTCCCTCTTCCACTCAATCATTCTGCAGATACTCTCTGCCCTGCTTTGAGCCCAGCACTGTGCTTCCCCAGCCATCCTGACCCCTGTGAGCTTCCCAGGTGAGCTCAGGCCCACTGTGTGAAGGAGGAAGTATGGCCCTGGGGTAGGCAGGGAAGGTGGGCACGAAGAATCACTCATTTTATTGTGTGGGAGGTTTACAATTTCAGGAAGTGTCAGAGATTGATCAAACTGGTGTATAGATTCAACTCCATTCCTAGGAAATCCCAGGGAGGCTTTTTGGTTTTATTATTGCAGACTTTTACGAGTTAGTTTTACAATCCATATTACTCCATGATGGCCAGTAACAAGTGTTGTCAAGGATGTGCAGACAGCGAGATCCTTGGTGTTTGGGAATGAGAATGGGGGCACTGTGAGCACCGCTGTGGAGCTCCAGGTGGTTTGACAGGCAGTTGCCCTGTAAGCTGGCAGCTCCTTGGTTGGACTGCATCCTGGTTGATGGAAAGGGCAGGCACACCTAGAGCCTGGGAACACTGTGAACAGCAGAATTCTTCAAGCAGCCCGCAGTGGACGTATTCCAGGGGTTCATGAGCTGAACAGGTGAGTTTATTCCATCCCGGAGGGAACCTGAAATCTGTCAGCCAAAGGAGAAACAAAATGGTCCACCACAGGGTGGGCTCCTTCAGCTGACAGACTTTAGCTTCCTCTGGGTTGGAATCAAGACCCTCCATGTGAATAGACCATAGTGGGTGGGTGGCTGGGCTGACTGTGGGTTTCACATCCAAGGCTGTGGTGATTGGCTTGTGGATATATATACACATACATATTTGTTTCTTTTTTTCTCATTTTTAGTGACAGTTTTCCTTGACTTTTGAAGATTAAGGAATTTTGTTTGTTAGTTTTGCTTTTGATTGCTTGTTTCTCTTATTTCACTTTCTCTCCTTCTATTGCTAAATTCTATCAAATTCTATTCTCTTTTTCTTCCTTTGCTTTTTTTCTATTTTTTAAGTTACTCTTTGTAGCATCACCTGCTACATATTCTCTACTTTCTCTCTTTTCACATTTTGAACATTCTAAACTTTCTTTTACTTTCCTATCACATTTTATTTTCTCATAATAAACTGTTTTAAAAACCTTTTAGAATCATTTGGTTTATGTACCTTCTGCCCCCACCATTTATTTGCAGTTATTAGTATGGTATTTGTCACCAGATGAATGGGGGGGAAATGTAGTGGGTTTTATTTAGCCATAAAGAAGAATGAAATTATGCCATTTGCAGGAAAATGGATGGAACTTGAGAACATTATGTTAAGCAAAATAAACCAGACTCAATGTCACATGTTGTCTCTCACCTGTGGATGAGAGAAAGAGGGGAAAGAAAGGTGGGAGAGGGCGGAAATCTCATGAAAATCAAAGGGAGATCATGGAACATAGGAAAGGGACACATAAGGGAGGAAGAGAGGGGAAACAGAAATACTGGGGGTTGATAATGGCCAAATTGTATTATTGTGTCATGTGCATATATGGATATGTAACAGCAAATCCCACCATTATATGCAACTGTAATGCACCAATAAAAAAGAATTTAAATCGTGAAAAAAATAAAGTGACAATGAATTTCACTTCTCTAGACTTTATTTCATATTCATCTTTTGGATATATTTTCTCTTTAACATATGGCTTTGAAAACTCATTTTAATTCTTTAAATTATGTACTTTCTCTGTTAGTTTATCATGATTTATTATTGTTTCTGTTGTCACTGCTGATTTTCTTCTTGCAGGT